CTCCTAAGGATCATAAAAAACGGCTACTGGTTTGGGTTGTAATGCTGAGTTTTTCAAAAGTTGGTGGCTTTAGGCCTCCAACGGCTAAAAAATTGTAAATTTCTGTAGTTTTCGTTGATTTGATTGTAGTTATGATAGCTTCTAACCTGCAACTGTATGTAGTTGCCTCTACTGAATATACTGCTGCTCTATCTCAAGAAATATGGAGTCGGCTTCCCAATGTTCAGTGAATTTTTCTGTTTCTTAATCAAAGTATATATAAATCTGGCAGTTTAGGTGTTAGATCTGTAAATATATAAGAATGTTGTGGTATGTACGTAAATATCCTTTTTGTTTTTCTTAACAAGTTGATGTGGTTGTATATGATTTGTGCTTTTGAAAAAGTTGCAATAAATAATCAAATTCTAACATAATTGACTCTGAAGAACTACTCAACATAGAAGACTTTGAAAAATAGTATGAAATGTCTCTTTTATAAATTTATATTAAGGAAGACTTGCATACCTACCGCTCTACTCATATGTTCTTACATATCTAACAACCTAAACTTCAATCTTTACATACATACCCCTTTCTTATGCATGGAAAGGTGTATTTCACTCTTTAAAAGTTAAAATAATGATATTTTTTAATATGATATATAAATGCATGGAAATTGAGGGGTATTTATGTAAAGTTGTAGTCAAATACGTGTAACCATGGTTTATGAAGAATAAATAAAAAATGCAATAATAATTGTAGTTGGAGACTAAGTCAAGTTGGTCCGAGGAGCTCATCTAATTTCAAAGCTAAGTTGCTGATAATAGACTGCGGTGCTGTGGCGGTGCGGTGTGGCACTGCACCGCAGTTGTCAGTTTGGGTAAACTGTGATTTGACAGCTTTTTAAAAAAACTGTCACTGACATCTGTATTTTTTCACCACTCCTGACTAGGTGCGGCGACAGCTTTCTAGCTGTGGTATGATTTTTAGAATCTTTTTTCTTTTTTGAAATAGACACAACATATTTTTGAGTATCAGATTATTATTAATCAGCAGCTTCACAATTAATTTTAATAAGCTGCAGCTGTACCGAACAATCGCTTAGAGTGCTTTGGTGGGCTCTAGCTAGGCAAGCATTTTTTTTCTTAGTAGTATTTGTTTAAATATTATATAAACCCCCCTAGTCTTTATAAAATAGCATTGAGAGTAGTGTAGGACTTAATTAATAGTATTTTATTAATATGCTAATTTGATGGAGAAAGTTATGGAGCACCAATATTGAAGAGGTTTATGACGAGGATTTATTTGATTTATTTATTATTTTTTTATTTGAAAGTTTAGGGTAATTTTATCATGTAGCTTGATATATAGTTTGGAATTAAAATAAAAAAAAAGTAAATTTATTTTTATTTATAAAATTACTAAAAAATAATTAGTTTTATTTTAATATCACCAAACAATTTGATTAATTTTAATCCTAAAGTTGGATCTCATAGCACAAAGATATTTGAACTAACAACTTCAAAAATTAATTTTAAGATCATCCTAATTTTATTTTTAGCAATTTAAATCTAAATGATCTTTTTTGAGAGATGAGTTCTACTAGTTCAAGAGTATTCAATTATGAGATCACTAAGATAGATAGATATTCAAATAATATTATATGATTAGAGAAAACTAACCCCCGGATCATTAGACATCCTAATTTAAGGATGAAAAGATTATAATGTCTCCATCAAAATTTTAATAATATGATATGTTTTAAACATCAAGGATGCCCTAGAAGGCCTCAAAAGGATCTTAGATTCAAGCTTTATGAGATTCAGTGAGTTCCCAAAGCTCCATTGCTAGCACAAAAGGTCTGGTGTTGCTATTAACCATTTCTAGCACCAACCGTCGACCATCATCGTTAATAATGATAAAGCTCATTATTGCTACACTTTTCATGCATGTCCTTGCCTATATTGACATCCATCATCTTTAACAAATTCAACGCCTGCAATCGCTATTAGAGATGATGCTCACTATCAACACTAATCGTAATGCGTCGCGGCCTATCATCCATAAATGTATATATCTTTTGTAATGAAATTAAGTCGTTTGGTTGTCTTTTGTACCTTTCGGTTTTTAACTCTGCTGTACCTTTGTGAGGGTTTTGCACCGTAGTATATTTGTTGAGTGATTGATGCTCAGTAAAGTTCTTGTCGTTCTAATGCTTTGACTGGCTCAAGTCTTACTTTGCCAACCTCATTTTGTTTTTTCTCAGATTCATCCCTTGGGTCGATTTTCTCCCTCGCTAGGACTTTAGGTGAATCTCACTGTCGTCGTAACAAAAGTCACCACCTGGACTTTATTTTGGGGCAATTTACGTTGTACCATTTGCGAAGCTTGTCGCTACTAGGCATGAAACTCCCTCTAGGGCAATTTTTTAGTCGAGTTTTCAGTGTGAGTCGAATGCGGGACCAACAACACACTCTTAGGTACCACTGTTGGTAGTTTTTATGCTTTTGACTGGCCAGACAAACTTGGTACCGTGGCCAACCGTTTTAATGTTTAGGCTCAGTTGGCCAATCTTAGAGCTGCGACTAGCCATCTTCATATTTGGGCTAAGCTGGGTGATTTTAGCGTCGTGGCTATTTGTCTTCATGTTTTGGCTCAAACGGGCAATCGAACGATCTTGTCGTTTTAATGTTTAGGCTCAAGCGGGTTTGAGTGTCTTAACAATGTCAGAGTTGAGCGATCTTGGGCTCGTTTGATTCCTCCTGCCGAGAGGCTCTATTCAACCATAAACTCACCAAATTTGACATTCGTTTAACTTTTCAAATATCCCCAAAAAACTCTCAAAAGCAGTTTAATGGCTTGATCGGGGTTTGATTTGGTTCAAATTAAACCGAATTTGGTATCATCGAGTCTGTCTCATTGAAGCAGTCAGTTGACTATAAGTATGTTGAAATCGAAGTTTTTGATGACTTCTACTTGAAGTTTGAATGTTTCTCGATAAAAAATTTGACTCGATATTTGTGGTATACCTCGAGATTTGCATCATTTAATGAAATTTTGGTGGAGGTGTATCAATAATAAGTTAATGAATATGATTATTTTGCAATATTGTAGATGTGATAATTTTGTCCATTAATTAATTATATAATGGCCGGCCCCCAAACAAAACCCCAAAAGAACTGTGCTGCCATATGGCGAATTTTACAGAATTTATCTACCTCTCTTCCTCTTTTATTTTTATAATTATTTATTTATATAAACCTTTTGACATGACATCTGCTGCATCTTCTTTCCATTGCAAAGCTGCTAAATACTACAAGAGAAAGCAGAAATTGCCTCCCTCAGAACATGAGAATAATAAGGTATGACTTCTTTCATAACTTTCTCTGAGATCCACTAGAGAGAGAAACTTTCTAATCTGTTTTGTTAGCTTAATCATAGTAATTATTTAGCATGCTAATCAGTTTTAATCATGGTAACATAATCATATTATTCATGGATGATATTACCTTGTTCATTATTATTATTATTATTCATATAAAGGGTTTCTATGTAATATGATTTAATTAAAATACCTCAAAAGCATATTTGATGGATATTAAAGTAGTGTAAATTTCCATATACTCCTACAAAATACTCTCAACATTAACTATTAGAATAAAAGGGCTAATCACATGTGGTTGTGTGCACCCTTTGAACTTGAGTTTTAATGCTTTCACCTCATTAGAGCTATAGCATTACTTACAATTAAAAAAAGGGAATAT